AACGACGAAACGAAAAACGGAACGGGACCGGGTACGGTAGGTACGTAGTTACGTCCGTCGTGCCCTCCCCCCGTTCCCCGTCCCCCCCCCCCCCCCCCCCGCCGGCCGTCATGGCGATAGTCTTCCCCCCGGATACGGCCATTGCCCGCGTCCTCGTGAGCGCATGGGCGCGCGGCGACGCCCTACTCCCGCACCAGGTCAACGGCAACCAGCAGAGGACCAAGATGTGAAGCGATGCGATGCCGGTGCACGCCCCTCCACCGCGCCTCGCCTCGCCTCGCCTCGCCTCGCCTTGCTAGACGGACGAGGACGAAAGTAGAAAGGCGGTGTACGTCCCATCCCTTTCCCTTTTTTCAAACTCGGCCCAAGATCCAAAGGTATGCCAAACGGATAGAAGATCGATTGGAGGCTGTACCGGAACCGCCCCAACGAGACACGATGCGATGGGCCTTCTAGACCGTCGAGGATACAAGAAGGGGGAAAGGGAAGGGCTGAGAGTCGAGAGTCGAGAGTCGAGAGTCGAAAGGGCGATCAGACGACGCCCCAGAAGTCTTCGAGGGCGCAACAGAACTGTCCAAAAGGGCATCGCAGCGAGCGAGCAAGGCATGGGGGGCACGACGAGGGGCAAAAGGACAAGGTCAGCAACGAGCTCGCAACGGCACAAGAGGAACAGGAGATGGGGGAACCCGCCCCGCCTGCTCACCTTTCCGCAGGCGACCGAGGCGCTGAGCGAGTACTCGGAGATGGAAATCTTTTCGTCGACGACGCCGTCTGCAAAGTTGTCCTGTCCGTGCGCCATGGCGCCGACAAAGACGGCAATGCTGTGGTCCTTGGGCACCGTGGGGAGGTACGACGAGAGGCGCTGGACGGGCGAGTCAAACGAGAGGGTGATTTTGTGCGTGTTGGCGGGGAAGTGGTCGGTGACGGGGTTGCGGATGACGCGGAGGAGCTTTTCCGAGCCCTGGACGCTGCGGATGCTGAGCTTGTGGAGGAGCTGGACCATCAGGCCGCTGAAGCGCTTGAATGTGCGCGGGATGCGAACGTGCGGGTTGACCTCGATCAGAACACCCTTTGCCGTGTGGATGTAGACCTGGAGCAGTCCGGCCTTGTTGAGGGGCGAGTCGAGCAGGGTGAGGAGGCACTGGTGGGTAATGTCCGGGCGGGCCTCTGCAATGTCGCGCCCCATCTTGGCGAGCACGCGCTGGTGGTCGTCGCAGTTGAGGAGCGCGTACTTGTCGCCGTCGTTTTTGGCGTTGCGGCCGTTGCCGCCCGAGCTGCGTCCCGCCGAGCCGGAAGAGACCTTGTAGGTCTCGAGGCAGGCCTGCTCGAGGACGACGATGAGGCGGGGCGTGTTTTCCTTTTCGGTCGTCGTCTTTGGCACCTTTGGCACCTGGGGGACGAGGTTGGAGTCGACGCGGGTGCGCTTGGGGTGGGGTGCTGCGGCCGACGACGACGACGAGGAAGAGGCTGCTGCGTGCGAGGTGCCGGGCATGGCGGTGACGGGCTTGGGTGGGAGTGCGTGGCGCATCGCGGGCTTGGGCTGCGCTGATGCTGATGCTGCTGTGGATGATGTCGACGGTGCTGCTGCTGCTGCTGCTGATGATGCTGCGGTGCCGTCGGCTGCTTCGGTCTTGATGGCGGCTGCGCCTGTGAGCGAGGCGGGTGCGGGTGAGGCGCGGGGCGACTGCGGGAGGGGAGCAATCTGACGCCGGTAGGTGGTGGCGGGTGCGGAGCGGGTCGTCATGCGGTCATCGTCCGAGTCCGAGGCGGCCGACGAGGCAGAGGAAGACATGGCGGGGTTGCTGTGGTGGTGGTGGCAGTGGCAGAGGTGGTGATGAGGTGGTGGTGACAGGGAGAGAGTCGAGAGTCTAAACCCAGAGGCAGTGACGTCGGATACGCAGGCTGAGGGTGTGGCGGAGAGAGAGATAGAGAGGGGGGGAGAGAAGCGAATCAAGAGGGCACGACTGTTGGCGGTGTGGGGCTCGGTGCGGGGAGGGATGCCGTATTGGATTGAAGATGGTGTTGGCAAGGCTGGGCAGCTTGCTTGGTGCTTCAAGGCTTGGCTTTGTCCTTCTCAGAAGGTCCGGGTGCGGGTGCTTCGGGTGCTCAAGAGGAAGCTGCCGGTGGCTAGCCCCACGAGAGAGGCACACGACCGACCCAAAGCCAAGCCGGGCTGAAATTTCTCTCGAGCCAAAGAGGTCGCTCGGCCCAGCGAGGAGAAAAAAAATTGGGCTGCAGGAGCTACCTAGCCAGCTGGCAGCGCGGGGCTTCAAGCCCTGCGGGAAAAAACTTGCGCGTGGCTAAGACAGGGCTGGCTAGCTCGCCATTATCGGCCGGTTGGGTGCGGCCTGGCTTGGCGAGCAGCCCGGGTTCCGATGCAAACGCCAAAACCAACACCCTGACCCGCTTGACCTCGGGCCCAGGCCAGGCCTGGCCAGCAAGCGAGACGGGGCGAGGCAGGCAGGCAGCCAGGCAGGCAGGCAGGCAGGCAGCCCGCCACCCAGCCCGCAGAGTTGCGACTTGCGACGCGCTCGCCGGCCTGGCGTCGAGCTGGGCTTTCGGCCCCC